TAATTGGGAAGGGTTTCCCCGATCCCTAGTGTTTTGGGTTTCCCCAAAACCCATCCTAAACCCCGATTAGTGGTAAAAAAACCCACCCCAATCAAGGTGGGGTCCCATAAGAATGGGTTAAATTGCCATCTTTACTTCACTCCTACTAGCTCAGTTAAGAGTTGGATAATGAATTGCTCATCTGGCATATGCCCTTCCATCATATGAGTTAATCGATGAAGGAAGAATATTCGGTCACCATGGAGGGAATTGGCTAATAGCTTTCCATGGGCATTGTGTTTCCAAGTGATCGGAAATCATTAGCAATGGAGCTAAACTCTCCCATCAAGAACTTGGCATTGGACAACATAGTCTTACATCTAGGTGAGTATTTACTCTATAGCTTTTCTTTTTGTTGCTCTGACTTTTAATGTGTTGTTATTGCAGTTGGCCTTGTAGTTGGACACCTAGGAGAGGATGTTGGGGCAAAGCAAGACCAAGGTAAATCATYTGACCTAGGAGAGGGTGGAGTTAAAGGAAGAATCACTCCAAATGAAGGGTCGTGCCAAGAGAGCGAATGTCGAGCATCGTAAGGCCTTTTTTGCCTTGAAGGAAGTAAAGTCTAAGATGAAGGTGGCCAAGGCCAAGGTGTCTACTATGAGGGGCTAGTTGAAGGAATTGAAGGTAATGGTCCAAGGGCTAGAGAACAAGTTGGAGGAGGTCATGGTGAAGGATGTAATAGAGTACAAGGCACTAGAGGAATATCATAATGAGTTGGTTGAATTTACAAGCAAGTCTTTCATTGAAGGGTTTTCCCTGTGCCAAGGGCAACTTTTAGCCATTGTCTTAGACTTTGATATTGGTAAGCTTGAGTGATTCGTGAATATTCAAGAGGTAGAGCCAAGTTAGAGAGTGGATGAGGATGTGAAGATGATGGTAGAGACAAGACCAAGTAACTGAAGGCGGTGCCCAGAGGTGAAAGTGGTAGTAGATAGGGCTGAGGGAGCTTAGTCTTGATCATAGTTGTTGTTGGGCCTTCGTGTCCTTAAATGATGTTTCTTCTTGGGTTGAGGGCCCTTTCCACCCCCACTTCTTCTCATTCTTCCTTCTGATTTCTTTTCTATTGTTTGTTTTTACATAGGGGTTTGAAGTGCCCCTCAACCCCTTATACTCTTGTAACCAACACAACCAATGAAATTTATTTTGTTTGGAAAGTGTGATATCGTTCTTTATTTTGAGCCTTTGTACTAACTGAATAGTAAGCCAAGGTGATGAAGTGTTTGATTGTTATGCTTAGAGGAGTTTAAGGCCTCAATTCACAAAGTCCATTCTCTTTTCGCTTAGCTTAGCCCATAGGTAGATAAGGTATTCAACTTGAAGTGTATGAGGGTTGTTAAGTCATTTTCGCTTATTATATTAAAATTTGGCCAAGCCCTCTACGTCTTATGTCCAACCAAGGTGACTTGTTGTGCATGTAACCAATTAGAAAGTATTCCTAAGGTCTTAGTCGAGGTTAGGCGAGGTTTATATTCAAGGCTTAAAATAACATGTGTGACAAATTTTGCAAGACAAGTGTGTGGCAATGAGGAACTTTTGATTTCATTATACAAGTGAGTACACTTGCCTTACGTCAATGGTAGTACATACATAGGTTGTTAGAGTTTCATATACAAGGCACTAATATTTCGCAAAGGTGTTCTAGTCGATAAATTCTTGGCCCCACCACCTCGGATACTTTGTATGGCCCTTCCTGTTGGGGTTGAGATTTCACAAGTTGGGTTCTAGGATAATGACTTTTCTAAAAATGAATTCACCTTCCTTGAACTAATGTCGTTGGACATGAGATGTGTAATACCAGGATACCCTCGAGGTGTGGTCACAGGGGTGAAAACTCTAATGATAAAGTCAATCGAAGACTCAAAGAAGCCAAGGTGGTAAGAGTGCAAGAATAGTTAAGTGCATTGAAAAGCACAAAAGAGTTTACCTAAGGGCTTGAATTAGTTCTTATAGTTGAAGTCCCCTGCATTGGTGCAATGAGCTCTTGGTAATGACTCCACACATCAAGCACCATTAAGAGAGGGGTCATTAAGGCAATGACTAGGGCTGTAAACGAGTCAAGCTAAGCCAAACTTTGGCATGTCTTGGTTTGACTCGACTAAAATACTACTAGGTTCAAGTTTGAGCTCGATTTGATTAAATATTCAATGAGCTCAAATTTAGCTCAAAAGCTCGAAAATATATATATTTATATATTTATGTATGATACTTTTTATAATATAATGTATGTAATATTTTATAATATATGTATATGTTTATGTATGTATATTTGTTTTAATCAAGCCAAACTCCAAGCTTTCGAGGCAAACTTTTTATTAGTCAAGCTTGAGCTCAAATATCTAATCGAGCTWACTCCACGGTTTGAGCTCAAATCGAACTTAATCGAATTTGAGCCCAAACTGTTCAATTAAAACTCGATTTCATTGTTGGCCTAACAATAACCACGTGGACAAAAGTTATCCTATCATAAATGCATTAAGAGGGGCTCCGCCAAAGTCATAACATCTATTATTAAGGCTCCGCAATAAATTGAGAAGGAAATGGCAAAGATGCCCCTACATCATGACGATGATAACCCACGTCGACATGCCACATGCCCTCATACGTTTGTGAGGATGATTTTAGCTGCATCAGCATCTATCTCTAACTTTACCAATACAATGTATTTGAACCTTGCCTTTTTGCATCATTATTGTGTTTCATCACACAATATGATACATTCCAGTCCCAACAACCAAAATTTTAAAGAGTTCTAAGTCTGCACAAAGAAGCTATTAACATTAACCAAAACCAAGCTCACACAAGCTCTGACTAATTGTCACTTTAGAGAATTTTTTATCGCAACAAATATTTTTAAAGTGCCTTTAAATACCCAAAAACCATATATCATTTTTGCTTGAATGGACAATGGAATCCAAGTCTCAATTTAAACCTTCTTTTGCGAGCAAGTCTTGTGGCCTTCTAGACTCTTGGGGGGTTTTAAATGTATTCTTCACACAAGTTTTTTTTTTTTTTTTTTCTATTTTTTAAGAAAAAAGAAACGCCTAAAATTAGGATTATACTTTGCGAAGTACAAATGGTATTTCAATGGAGATATTCAAGCAACAACAATAGATCTAATACCACAGTAAAGAGTTGGAACCAATTGATAACATTTAGAGATTAGTTTTCATGTTTAATTTCATCAAACCCACAAGGAAACTTTAAAAAGAAATGGAAAAGAAAATAAATCTAAGACCCAAAAATTCTCTAATAAATTACTGGCTAAGAGTTTCAATATAATTTGAGAATATCGGAAATAACCAGGCCATATTGCCCCCCCACCCAAATGGCTCTAAAACTCCAAACCTCATTCTTATAGTGCTAGATATGTAAAAAATGCAAGAAAAAAGTGTGAATCATTAATGCTTTTTGAAGTGTTTTAGGTTTTGAAAAATATGGCAAAAATGAGCGAGATTTTTCAAATTTTCATAATATCTTGTGATTTTTTCTTGAATTCCTGAAAATGTTTAAATCTATGTTGATCTATATTTCTTATATTAAAAAAATCACAATTTTTTGTGTTATGAGTAGATTTGTGGAGATTTTATGAAGAGATTTGGGAAAAATATAAAATAACAAAAAAGTTGAAAATGTAATTTTTTATTTGCCTATAAAGACTTAATATGTTTTAGATTTATGGATTATCTAACACATCCACAGAGCAAATGAAATTTCTTCTTCAATATTTTTATATTTTAGAATTAAAAAATAAACAATAATCAATTATATTTTATGATCGAATCACAATGATTGAATATATTATAAATCTATGGATGATCCATCATATCAATAGAGCAATTGAAATTTCTTTTGCATTTTTTTAATATATTGTACAATGTTTATTTCTTTWTTATTTTTGTAATTTTTGAAAATAAAAAATAAATAATAATTATTTAAATAATAAATAATTATTAACAATATTCTCACTTTGAAGTTGTGCCAATGCATGTTTTATGGTTGGATAAGATAATTGGATTTTTCCATTCCCTTGAAACTTAAGAATTAGAATTTATAAATTATAAAGTTAGATAGGGTTTTTTAATGAAATTATAATTAGCTACAATGTATTTCTTCATAAAACCATGCAAATATTAATTTAAATTATTTAATGAATTTATAACTCACTAAAGCCTTATGTTTAGTGTTATTGATATACCTTTATAATTTATTTAAAAATTTAATTATTTACAATGTTTATAATGTTTCGGTATTTTCATATGTATATGTGTATCTTCATTTTTCTCCGATATACATGTATTCGAGATGTATCCCGATACATTTCTTAAAATTGTCTTTCCAATACATTAAAACGCTGGTGGCATATATAAATTTTAATAATCAAGTATTTTTTCTTTAAGGCTCAAGTTGTAAGGAGTACAAATACAAATATGTACAGTACAAAAACTTACAAAATAATACAAAATGCATAGTTTTCTACTCTACATATTTGTATTTGTACTCCTTCCAAACTGAGCCTAAGGTTTGATGATAATAAAAAAATGCTGGTAAGCATGAACTTRGTATAGTACATATAAGTTAAAATTTAGCTCACATAATTATGACAAATAATCGAGTTCTGGTAGATAAGTTGCCTCGAATCACCTTCTTTGTAAATTTAACGGCAAGTTAAAGAGAGGATGTGTATGAGAAAGCGAAATATGGAAGTTAATGAGAAAATAAGAGTTCATATTGGAGAGTCAAATGACATGATTAGTGAAAATTAATGACATGAATTAAGAGGGAGAGATAATGGCCAGTTAATGAGAGGAGAGACTGAGAATTTGAATTTGATTTAGAGAGGTCATAAAAGATGGTAGGACTATATCGGACCACAGAAGGAATAGGAAGTGTATTTGGCTGATACAGACTTGAAACGTATCATTAGTTTAAACCATGGCTTTGGTAGAGCCATGAGGCATGAATACTATTGAGATTTGAGAAATATTACATACTAGATATTACAAACAACACAGAATCATGTTTTTCCAAAACCCCATTCGGTTATGAAAATTTCTTCTTTATTTTCAAATCTCAACCCCTTACTGAAGCTCTGTTACCCCATCAGTAGGTTCAGATTCTGTCACTGAAATAAGAAGCATATATAATATTTACTAACAATCATATCAACTACAATAGTGAATCAATTGGCAGAAAGGAAGGGGCTTAACGTTTTTCAGTATTTTTTTTCCCTCCTTCCTTTTCCATTTTTTTGGTACAAGGAGAATACAAGCAGCTAAGAGGCCCTCATCAGGGTTTTCGATTTTCATAGACCTTTGTCGCAGCACAACTCAAATCACACCATAGAAAGCGAAAGACAGAACCCAAAACTAGCATACACCAACTCCCACAGTCCATCTTCAGTTTCCTCCTCTCAGCTGCTTTTTTGGAAAATACCATTCTCAATTAAATATTCAACAAATTCATCGATGAGGTAGGGCCAAGCACCTTCTGCATCATAGTTCGATAGAGTGGAATCCACCGTCTGCATGAGCCAAGACAAACATCAGTGATGTGTTTGCACTCAGCATCCTCCAGGCAAATACAAAAGACATCCGCCCTTCTTACAGTCATATCTACGCTCCGAGTTTTCCAGATTTTACAATACTCCCGGGTGTTCAAAACAATTCCTAGTTAGCAATGACAAAATGTGGTATCTAGGGCTCTCCTTTTCTTCCCTTCTATTCTTCTGGTTTTGAGGCTCAACTTTGGAGTTATATTAGGTGGGGGTACCAACAACAAATGAGCTAAGCAGCTAGTCAACTCATTTTTCTATAAGCCATAATTTACTTTGCTCCCCGAAGCACCAAAAAGTTGTCCCACTTGAACGTTACTGAACAAAATCAGTCGGTTCAGTTAGAACCAAGGACTTGACAGACTATTCGGTTTGACCATCTTCCCCAACCAAACCTAACCAACTATTTGGTTTGACCATCTTCCCCAGACAAACAAAACTGAACCAAAACTTGAATTAACCAAACTGAACTAGCTTATTCAGTTTGGTTTTTGGTTTATTATCCAAATTTGAACACCCATACAATTTACCTTATATATGAAATAAAATAACAAGTTACAGAAGAAAATTGGGCTGAAACATTGAAAGTAGAAGAGCACACAGAAAACAAGAGTGCATATGGAGAAAGTGAGGTGATGGGATTCAGTCACTGCAAGAACCGTTTGAACAACCATCATAGCCTTGCATTGGGAATATCTCCCCATGAAATAAAGCATAAAAGTACAGAGATGTTCCCGATGCAAGGCTGTTCGAACAGTGTTCGAACGGGCCTTGCAGTGACTGAAGCCGATCTCGAAAGTGAGAACTTTCCAGAGTTGACTTTTGAAATTTGCAATTTTAAATGTGTATTACCAATTATGGCAACAAAGCATTTCTTTCTCTCATATAGGATGCATCAATTTCTGCTTGAGAATGCACACAGCAAAAACAAACCTAGGATCTTATGCTAGTGAATATACCAAATGCGCAATAACACATTTGTGCAACACATGCAGTTATTAAATATCAGCTGTAATACTCAGCATGGCCATGATACTCATGGTACATGTTTATGAATCCTTACCCTAGCAAACTCCAGTAGTTGAGACCAAGTATCCCTTGGGATTGCTTTGTTATGCCGGGCCTAAGTTCAAAGGCATAAAAAAATTAATAATATGAACAACTGTATTGAAGTTAAAGAGACTGGGCTTGTCAATGAATCAAACCCAAAAATTAAATAAAGCATATACTATTAAGACTGACTGCTATAAAACACCAAGAAAATGCACATTCAGAAGCAACAAGATTGAAGTGATAATTCTTAGGACCAGTAACAATGAAAAAAGATCCATCACACGTTCAGCAAAATGCATTACAATGATAAATCAGTGTTGAGAAACATGTAAACAGGGACATTAGTATGTTTTTATTTAACATGTCTTATTAGTAATGATACAGGTCAGTCCCCACATTAATGCATCTGTCCATACTAACTAGGTGCAGATTGGTCTCTGTCTATTCATTCTACTAACTTCTAGTGTGAGTGCATGTGCGGAATGGAAGTAAAGATGAAAGAGTAAAAATGAAAACTCTTATACAATATGATGCTAGTAAATATGTGCTTTAACTTCTTTTATAGTATGCATGGGAACCAAGGAAAATATCCACTTTATATAGTATAGATAAATAGCTCTGACCACCAGGGGGAGGGGATTCTGTCTTTTTTTCATCTCTCAGTTTCTTTCTTTCATGCAGGTTGATACTATTCACATGGTATCAGAGCAGGTCAGATTACTCCAGAAGAGATGGCAGACCTGATGGATGCTATTAGGAGGGGTTCTCTCCATTGTGGTCAAGTGTTTTTAGTTCCTAGGTACTGCAGATTTGTGGATCTTAGGGTTTAAGAATGCAATTTTTTTATCAGCAAAAAAACTTTCATTAATAACAGAGAAATTAAGCTACAATAGATAAAGATTGCAGAGGAATAAACTGCAATCTCCAGCAATCAGTTACAATTCTGCCCAATACAATGAAGATCTATTTTGCCCCTTGTTTTGCTAGGGTTTAAGACTGCAATTTTAGTTAGAAGCATTCTTCATTGAAGTTCTCATCTAGTGCAAGTAGTCCTTACTGCATGTTTTTTAATTAATAGAATGACATCATCTGTTCTGCATAATAATACTCCCTCCTCTGTTTTGTTCCTTCACATTTTCTCAATATCTTTTTCATTTGACTCCACATATCTTTGGTTGTGTCTAATTTTGTTCAACTCCTTGGTCCAGGTATAAATTGGATGTCAAGTATGTAAAATTTATTTTTCTTGGCTATCCTTGTACCCAGAAGAGAAACAAGTGTTAGAAACCTACTTTAAGAAAGCCCTTTGTCTGTTACAATGTTACTTTCTTTGAAACTATGCCCTACTTTGCTCTTGATGTTGTTTCTGCTGACGATTCTATGGTGTCTTTTCCTGTTTCTCTATGTACTCTACTATTCTTATTTCTAGCACTTTTCCTACAGAGAATCTACCAACTGAATGAGTGTATACACAACACAATACTCCAGCTCCTCTTCCATCTAATTCTCCACCAAATGGTCCACCTTCCCCACCTAATCTTGATCTTCATATTGCTTGCTCTTTGAAAAGGTAAATGCAGTTGTACTGCCCAGCCACTGTCTAGTTTTCTTTGTTATGATCATTTATCTTTYGCTTTTCATCACACCATTTCCTTGTTATTATCTTCTATTCATGAAGCCCTTCAATCAAATGGTTTGAACAAGCTATGCAAGAGGGATTTTCTTGCTCTCCACAAAAATCCAATGTTTTAAAAACACAAGGCGTAAAAGAAGTGCAGAGGTCATTTTGTGCCCAAGGAGCAAGGCAAGATACACACCTTTTTGAAGCAAGGCACAGAATTTAAAAAAAAATACAAAAAATGCAAAGAATGAAAAAAATCTAAAAATTCAAAATAAATTAAGAAATTACTAAGAATAAAAAGTCAAACTTTAATTTTAAACTAAATGCTTTGAAAGAGCCTATTAACTCAAATTTAAAAACACAAACATAACATATAAAACATATTAAAGCATGTTAAATTTTTAATTCTTTATTTCTTTCTCTGCTGCATTATTTCAAATAGTTTATGTGATGTTACATCTTTCATTCCTAATTCTACAAGCTGCCTTTGTACCAAGCCCCTAGAGGCACGCCCAAACAAGTCTATGTTAGGGTCTTAAAATTCTTAACCCCTAAAAAATGGTTTTATAATTTTAATTATATTTTTAAAATATTTTTTATTAGGACGAATGAATGAACAACGTCAACAAATAGGGGGGGGGGGGTCATTGAAGCTTCGTTGAGTGGGTGAAGTGAGCGAACGACACCAAAAAGCGCAAAAAATAAGGTGCACACTTTTCGAAAGTGGTGCACTTAGGACCTAGCCGAGGTGCATAACTTAAAATGCGCCTTGCTATGTGCCTAGGTGTGCATTTTAAACAACTGCAGAAGTCACACATGGGATCTTTTGTAGGGCCCACTAGCGATTGATTTGTATAGTCATAGTTGTGTTTAAAATTTTAACAACATTGATTGAATGTTTACAAGTTATTGACTTTTTTGATGATAGTGGCAGTTCTGTATTTTCATTTAGTTCTAATAGGATTGGCCACCCCATCATTGCAAAATAATCACATACCATATAGTAGCACCCCTACAACCCACCAAGATCAAGAAAACAACTCTTCAGCATGACCTTGTGAAACCAACATGCAACAAATTGCAAATAAAGGTAATCTGCAGTTTCTCCCAAAAAAATATAAATAAATGATCAAAAAGAACAAAGAGGCCAGCAATTCATCGCATAAAATTCATACATGAGCAAAATGATAATATTTCTTCAATAACCGAAAATGTACTAATCATGTCTAATGTTATGGAGCACTCAAGAAGAACTGAAGTCACCTATACTCATGGAAACAAAAACATCCACAATTAAAACCAACAATAACCGGAAAATTCCCACATTTAACTCCTTAGATAAAACTACTATAAACTTGGTAAGTAGAGATCAGACATCACTTATAGACATTACCTGCAAGAACTGGCACCAGTGATCAACCAAAGGCCACTGCTTTTCAGCAAACAACAGCTGCCACATCCCAATGGATGTATCCAATGCCAACGATTTCTGGCCCTGCAAATAATTAGCAACCAAATTTGTGAATACCCTGCAAATAACCAAATCTTTGACAGGGTAGCAGAATTCTGAAGTTTCTTTACTAGTGACAATAACAGTGGGGAAGTAAGGGAAAGGCCATTTCAAATAAAAATAAATAAAAGATTTTATTGGCAAGATTTCTGTTCCAAGATGAATAAATGTGCATAAAAACCACTAAAACAATTCTTCCATTTTACTTGCATTCATTCTGTGCAATCAAATATGTCAGGAGCTTGAAAATAGAATTTCTACAACTACGTCATATTATAACTAGAAACCAAATGTAACATCCAAAGAACCATACTGAGTCATCCTCCAATATTTTTTGAAAATAAATAAAAAAGAAAATTCATTAATCATTGGCCACGTTAGTCMTGTTTCACTAATCCATTCTATTTAAAGCCATATTCACTGTTAAGTTATCAGTACTTAAATCATTTCCTACCACTACTACCCATGTCCTTTTTGGCCTGCCCCTAGCTCTTCCAGCCCCTTTGATTTCTAACAAATCACTTCTTCTAACTGGAGATGTTGATGGTCTTCTATGCATGTGGCCAAACCATCTAAGTCTACTTTCTCTCATTTTATCACCTATATACAAAATAAATTACAAGATATCAAAATGACAAGGCATCACCTAATACAAGATAGAAAAACATAGCTAAAAAGATAACAAATAACTCTTCACTTAAGATCACTATTCTAACCCTAAAGTAGACCAAAACTGGATACAAAATCCTCTTTTTGAATTCCCTTAAATTCAGGTAATATCAAAATCCAATCCAGCAGCTTGGAACCAATTCCCACGTAAAGCTTCTCCTTAGATCTTGATTTTCCTTCAAAAACCCTTCTGTTTCTTCCTTCCAAACCTCCCAACACACAGCTCCAAAAATTTATTGCCTTTTTATTCCCATTAAGAGATGGCCAGTAAGCAAAGATGTCATTAAGACTTCACCAGTGACCACACCTCCATGTTGACAAGCTAGTAGAAGAATCCCCAATCTCAATAAAAAATAAATATTGAACCTTCAATGCATGATAATTTCTTTATTGAACCTTCAATGCATGATAATTTCTTTTTTAAGATAGGTGATAGTTATATTATTAAGATTCAAAATGAGAGATTTTTTTACACCCCAAAGTTAACTCCAGGTGGAGGAGTGGCCACCTAAAAATTTTATTAACCATTATCAAATGAGAAGTAAATCAAAACAGGGAGGGTGTAGCCCGCCTTGCCCACAAACCCAACAACAGAAAACACAACCTTACCCTCTCATCCCAATCCAATACAAGGCTCAAAAAGCAGAAAAACAAAAATAATTACTACCATTAACCTATAAAAAGTGACGGAATCCCAAAACAGTCCTCTTTAAGCAGTAATCTCGCCTCTCTTGGAACCTCATTGGTGGAATTGTAAGCATAGTAGTTTCCTTCATTAATACCCTCATAAGCAAAGAAGTCGGTGCATTTGTTCCCTTCTCTTAATGTATGAGAGAAAGAAAGGTGCATAATATAACATGTTTTCTCTATTTACGAAAGATATAAGTTAGATGCCAAGGGTGGGGAATTTTTCCAAGGGGAATATCAAACAAACATGATTATCACTCTCAATCTCTACCTCCAAAATGTTGTGAGATAGGCAAGCCTGAAGGCCATCATAGAGAGCATTAAATTCAGCTCTGATAGAGGTKCTCTCACCATAAAAATGGTGGGAAGCAAAGCAAAGCCCCCTGTAAAGGCTTCCCACAAAGAGGCATGGGATGTGGCCTCAAAAGTAAAAAAACAAAACTACAATTTAACCCAAAATAACTGATTCTTATGCATCCCTTGCTTAGACAAACAATCTGCCAACCCATTTGCCAATCTTCTTTCCCATTGAAAACTATCATATATGTGGTCAGCCACTTGATCCTTCAGAAAGCCCCCTATAGGACCAAGCTACTGTCTCTGGTTACTTCAGCCACCCAATTACCAGTTTAGAGTCACCTTCAATTAGCAATCTCTCATAGCCCAGCTCTCTAGCAATCTCTTGCACCCTGTAAGACTGCATGGACTTCCACATTACATCCCCCACTCCAATGGGAGCAGAGAATAACACAATAACCTACCCTCTTGCATTTCTGATAACTCCCCCAATACCAGAGGGCCCAAAGTTTCCTAGACTACTGCAATCAAAATTTAGCTTGATAAAGCCTTCTTCAAGGTGCCTCCAATCTACAACAGACTTGTCAGTGATAGAAGGGCCTTTTGCCACCAGTTCCCAATTCTGCAAATGTCATCAAAGGAGAAATATGAAAACAAGTCCGAGGCTTTATCCCAATTTATAACTCTGTTAATTATACAATCACAAATAGAAGCCTCATCCCTGTCCTTTAGACTACCAATCTACAGAGGCTCATTCCACTTGCATCCAAAAAGACCCAAAAAATTTCCTGAAAGCCTACAACAAAGGAGCAGGAGATTAGTAAGTGGTAACAACTTAGTCCATTAGCTTTGTAGAGTATACACCAGTTAGGAGAAATACTAAGTCTAGGCCTTCTCTTTTGCAAATTGTCCAAAGTGTTTAATTTTCTAAGAGAGGCTTCCTAACAAAGAGCTCCCACTTAGGAGGGATGGGTTTTGATCAAATTTCCTTACAGTGGAAAGGCTGAGGGTTAGGAACATAACACAAAGAAGAGAAGAAAGAAGTACAAGAGAACAAGCCCAGAGTTTAGGAGTCCAAATGCTAGCATCAGGTTTAGAAGGGTCCAAACAAACAGGATCAAGAATTTTAAGGAGCAAGGCAACCCAATCGAATTCAAGTCTCCCCCAAAGCCCAGGTTCCAGTTGATACTAGAAGACTGTGAGAAAGAGACAAACCTTTGAATGTTTATAGAAAGAAATAGAATACAAAGAGGGAAAACAGTCCATGAGGGTGGAGTTACCAATCCAAATATCTTTCCAAACAGAACCCAATCTCTAGAACACACTTCATACTTGATAAGGCTTGGGAATTTGGGAAGAACACCAATTATAGTCTTCAACGGAGAGTTTAAAGTAGCCCGCCAAGATAATACCAACATCCCAACCATTATCTACGCATCCATGAATACTTCCTATAATCTTAATGTTAGAGTCTCTCCCTCTCCAAAGGCCATCTCCACAACCATTTACCCAAAACTGGGTTCTTCCTCTCTCCTTTGCAAACCCCCTTTCTTTTCCTTTGCTACAGCCTCTACTTGTTTTGTTTTCAGCTGCTGAATAAAGTCACTCAGTACCTGTGCCACTGCCTTCCAACCATTACCCCTTCTACTTTCTGGGAARCAGACCACCTGCTTCTTTCTTCCTCCAAAGAATTCCTGCAGAGTTATGTAACAACCTTTTGCATTCYTTTTGCATTCCAACTCATACCTCTTTCTTCCATCAAGGTTGAACTTCGTAAAGTTCATTTGTTTACCTTTAGAACTTGCTTCTAAACAAACTTCTGCATCCATTCGGTCACTTCAAGACCTTCCAGCAATATTGTAGCTCTCTTTGCCTCCCTAATCATCAAGCTCTGCTGGCCTCTGATCCTTATCTCTTCAAGAATGAAAACTTTTGCTCCAATCATTATCTCTTTCCTCCATTTTGCAACTTCYACAAACCTGTTCTCCATCTCTCTTCTCTCCTCTCTGGGATGCCTAAAATGATTTCTGCTGCGATTTCGACTGCTGGTAATAGATCACCACTGCTGGAATGACTCCTGCCTCTCAATGTTCGCTAAAGGGGAGCAATCGCCACTTCCGCTGGTTGCAGAGAAGATTGTGTTGATGGGCAAAAGTATAAAGGGGAGAAACCGCCACTTCTGCTGATACAAGCATCCCTTGCAGAGGCGTGAGCTGCGACTTCTCCTGGCAAAGTATAAAGAAAGCACAAAAATAATAATAATAATAATAATAATAATAACAACAAACAACAAAATACACCTGAGCCCAGGACAAAAGTTCCCTATTTTCCCCTTGCTTGGCTAGACAATGAGCTACTGCATTTGCTGATCTCCCCCACCCATTGTATTCTTACAGATATATTATGTGTTAGCCACTTGAACGTTTTGACTTCATTCTTGTAGGACCACACCAGTGTTTGGGTCCTTCAATCAGCACACTACCACCTTGGAATCCCCTTGAATCAAAAGCTGCTCCACACCTAAAAAGGTTGCAAACTGCACTCCTTGAATGGCCGCTAGTAATTCTTCCCTAGTAGAGTCTCCAACGCCCAAAGAACCCTAGGTAGAAAAGCACAATCTCTCCAAACTCGTTCCTCACAACTCCTCCCAAACAAGAGGGACTTGGGTTGCCTTGACTACTCCCATCAAAATTCAGCTTCAAAAATAAACCTTCAGGAGGGGGTGCCTAGCTTGATTCCACCCTAATTTTTGGGAGGAAAACACCTTGCTACTACTGACCAATTCCTCCAAATATCATTAAACGAGAGTTGGTTAAATAAATCCATCATCTTTAACCAGTATATTACCTTATTCAATACACACTCCTTTAATTCTTGGCAGCTTCTCTCCTTCTCTTGGAATACTCTCGCATTCCTCTCTTCCCAAATTGTCCAAAGCAAAGCTGTATCTCCACATAACCCTTCCTCTTTTGTTAGGTCACGCGAATGTAGAAAGATTAAAGAGCATGCTTACATCTGCTGGCATATTCTACCTGCACCCAAACAATAAAAAAGCCAACCCCACAACTCTGCAGTAAAGGAGCAAGTGACTAGCAGACGGTAGCAATCCTCAGCATAAGACCTGCAAAGGATGCACACCAGTTTGGTGAAATACAAAGGTAAGGTGGTCTCTTCTGTAAGTTGTCCAAGGTGTTTATTTTCCCGTATAACACTTCCCAATAAAAAGCCATAATTTTTGGGGTACAGTCTGCACCAAACTTCCTTAATAGGGAAATCTTACTGAGACAAAGATTGGCAAAAGGGACTTGAAAAAAGAGGTACAAGAGAAGGCTCCTTTAAGCTATGGAAACCAAACCCACTTATCTGATTCAAAGGTATCCAAACAAACCTTATTGAGGAGGCAAAGCAAATTAGACAAGCAATCAATTTACTCATCCCTTAACCCTCCGTGGAACCCAAAATCCCAATTTGGAGCCAAAGGATTTATAGAAGGACAGAGAAACTTTGAAACCACATCTTTTTTGTACAAGGAGACAAAAAAAGGGAATAGGTCCTTTAAGGGGCTATCCCCAATCCAGACATCCTCCCAAAACCGAGTAAAGTTTGCAGAGAAAATATCATCCTGACAAACCTAAGGAAAATAGGAAAAATACTGCAAATTGCCTTCCAGGGTGTTGCCAAAGTTGCCCTCTGAGATACAACAACATCCCATCCATTCTCTAAATAACCATCAATGCTTCCTACCACATCATGCCACAGCCACTTCCCCAACAAAGCAATATTCTTTTGAATCACACTACCTAACCCCAAGTTCCCTCCTTACTCTTGCACACAATCTCCCACTTGAGCAAATGGTCCTTTTTACTTTCCTTTGGTTCCAAAAGAAATCTCTCATTATTTTGTCCAACTTCTTTTCTTCCCTAGGTAGTATTCTAAAAACAGACAGAAAATAGGTGGGCATATTCAAGAGTGTGGCTGATCAAAGTGATCCTACCAGCCAAGGAGATGTAGTTCTTCCACGAGCCTAATCTCTTTTCATTTTCTAACATTGCGTTCCAAAAGCTACTCTCCCTAGGGTTAGAAGCCCTAGATAGGTTAAAGGATAAGAAGAAATGGAACATTCTAAACTCTCAGCCACAGTCTCAACCTCCCTCGCATCCAAATTGACCCCTTCTATACAGATCTTTTCTAAATTGATTCTCAAATGGGATATTCTTTCAAAGCTTCTAAGCAACACCTTTAGATTTGCTACATTCCCCACACCAACCCCATCTTTACCCATTCTTTTTTTATCAGTAAAGAATGAGCAATTTTATTGACTTTCAGTGAAAATTACAACTGACTGGGAAACCAACAAACCAATCAGCACCAGATTACAATTTTGCCCAGAACAAATACGGTCTTTCAACCCCCTACTTTGCTGAAACATCTGCTATTTCTACCTATTCTCTAACCTCTTACAACATCTTCTCTATCAGCCTTGGAGATCAACTCGCTAAGAAAATCAACTAATAGAGTAAAGGAGAAGGGAATAAGCAGATCCCCTTGCCTAACCCCCTTACAAGTGGGAAAGAAGTCCTTCACTACTCCATTAACTAGGATAGAATAGTGGCAAGAACTAATGCAACCAAACACCCAACTACACCACCTTTCCCCAAACCCATAGTTACTTAATACACCAGATTGTAGGCTTTTTTCAAGCCAACTTACACACAAAGCCTTTTTGCTTAGATATCCTCATTTCATGGACACACTCATTGGCAATGAGAATCTGATATACTATTTGTCTCCCTTGTATGAAGGCCCCTTGGGCTTGGCTGATGATAGAAGTTAGAACTTCTTTAAGCATCAAAAAAAGGACCTTAGTTAATATTTTATAGATACTTGTCACCAAGCTAATTGGTCTAAAGTCCTTAGGGTGGCTAGCCTCAAGCTTCTTTGGGACTAAGGCCAAAAAGGTAGCATTCACTCCAGCATTTACTATGTGCTTATCTATAAATTCCTAGACACCACACAAGTCATCTTTTATCACTTCCCAACAATCTTGAAAGAAAGCCATCATAAAGCCATCCGAGCTCAGAGCTTTAGATTTGTTCACCAGTGTAGAGAACACTGATGTGGGCCCCACAGCTACGGTCCCACTGTGTTCGTAGGGTAGAAGATGTTATAGTCTGCCTAGGGTTAGCAATTGGTCATTTAGTTGTTTCAGTTGTTATTTATTTCAGTCTTATTTCTTGCTCTATTTGCTATGTAAAGACTAAGGGCAGATCTGTCCTTTCCATGTAATGAGCATAACCTATAAATATTAATTAAAGTGGCGGCGGCAGAATATTAAGCTTCTGCTCCTCCTTTTCAACCCTTGTGTTCTACTGCTTCTCCTCCCTCTTCCTCTTACCTTTCTTCTTATCTTCGATCCTGAAATCCATTAGGGTTCAAGACTGATAACAGTCCTGAACTTCTACTTGGTATCAGAGCTAGGGTTTCTCATGTGAGTCTAGTCCAGCCTACCACATGAGAACCATCTAAGGCTGGAAGCTGAGAAAGCAGAGTTCGTTGACTGGTTCTTGGAGATCTCCAGAGGATTAGCAGTTGTTTGAGGAAGTGCCACAGTTGCAGCGAGTTGGTGATCAGGAAGAATCAGAGAAGGCTAGGGTTCGGGTAACCTTGGTAGGCAGCGAACTGCATCCTATTGTAAGTCTTTTATTTTCTGAGAGAAGTAACATCAGAGAAGATAGGTTGGACCTATCCAGCAAGGGTGGCCGAACCACTCTAGGGTTTTATCTCTCTATTCTCTAGGGTTTTGTCTTATTCCTGCGGCAAACCCTAGTATTGGACTGAACCTTGTGATCTTATCTCTGCGGCAAACCCTAATAGTTCAGTTTTAGGGTTTCAGCATATCTGATTGATCAGTTTTAGGGTTTCATATTAACCCTAATACAAACCTTATCCGTACGGTACTTTCTGGAGTGTACGGCTTTTAGGACTGATTAAAACCTTAAATTGGCTTCAGCATATCADATTGTTCTTCAAACTGTTTTTCAGTTTTCTTTTGGGGTTTCGAACACTTCTAAAGGGGTGAAAACAGTTCGGATTGTTGCTGTTGTGTGTGGTTGTTGATTTCAGATCAGTTTTATACATGTTTCATGCACATCTACTGTGAGTACAGATTGGTTCTATACTGATTTTGTGATTGTGGTTGGTAGTCCTAGTGCTGGTTTTGACTGTAGTAACCCTA